GGGTAGGTTACTTAGAGACTTTGACTCCATTTAACCTTGTATTGAAAGTTACTCTTTTTCTATTTTTTCAGTAGTAGAAGTGACGTGGCAATTAGTAATGCTTGAGGGTGTGACTAATAATTGAGCTAGAATTGGGTTTAGGCAAAATTTTACATATTAGACTTGTTTTGCTCCTAATTTTTCAAAGATTTGATTTAGCTAGGTCTCATCATTTTTGGATGAACCTAACTAAACCAAATCAAACATTTTTGAAACGGATTTAGTGAGCAAACTAGTCTAAAGGCCACCTAGCTTGCCTTGTTCCTTCCTTGGCTGAATTGCTTCTCCTTCCTTAAAGTTTTGGGAAGCTTGTGCTATAAGCTTCTAACTTAGCTTGCTTCCCAAGCAACTAAGATAGAAGCTTTCTCCACAAGCCTCCTAAACTAGTTGGATGATCAAGCAACCAAACCATGGTTCTCTTGAACCATGGTTAAGGTTAGCTTGCTCCGTAAGCTACCTACTTCTATAAATTTGTAAACCTTCCATTTTCCCTCACTTTTGATGAATGAATTTAGAAATTCTTATAGAATTCTCTCTTCTCAAAGTCACCTTAGAATCCGTGGAGAACTTTCTCCTTAGGTTCCTCACAAAGGTTTTCAACCTTTGTGCCTTGGTCCTCTCAAGGTTCCTTCATCTTCAAGGAGTAACCGAGCACTCCTTAGTGTTTCACCATTGAAGAATCCTTCAAGGTGCTTTTGTCGTTGTTGAAGAGTTCAACCTCAAGAACAAAGGTCGTTGAAGGTGTAACTTGAAGAATCATCAACCTTTCTTCAAGACTCTTCCATCAACCAAGAGAAGCCGGTTGTTCGAGAGTGACATTGGTGACAGTTTTGGTGCCACTCAAGATAAAAACCCTATTAGTCCCTTAGCATCATATAACTTAAGAATGATGATGAAGAACAACTCAAACACAATTAAATAACAAATAAATAAAAGTGTGGGGAAGAAGAATTGCAAACTTGATTTTATACTGGTTCGGCCAATCCTGCCTACATCCAGTCCTCAAGTCTCCCACTTGAGAATTCCACTACTCTTGTAAACCTTACAAGAAAATGAATCCTCCAACACCTCGGAACTCCCTTTCCTTGTGTTGAGATTCAAACACCAATAAGGAGAAAAACCCTTTCTCCTTTACAGATCCAATGATCTATTAAGTAATACAGAATGACTCTCTTGAAGAGTGGATATTACACTTTCATGATCTTTGATGAACTCTTTAGAGATTTTGCAAATGATTTTGGCCAAGTGATTTGTAAAGATAATTTTTCACAATTGAGTTCGTCACCTTTCTCTGAAAAATTATAGGTATTTATAGACAATTGTATCTTGAGTTATGTCTTTTCATGAAGAGTTGTAACTCTCTATAATTTTTCAGAAAATAGGCTCTGGTAATCGATTACAAGACTTGGTAATCGATTACAACGGTTTAAGTTCAAAATGTTTGAAACGTTGTATAGTTCAAATTAAAAGCCTCTCCCAGAACGGCCCGTTCCAAAACCAGAACGGCCCGTTCTGGGGTTTCCGGAACGACCCGTTTCAATGTGGAACGGCCCGTTCTGAGTCAAACTTTGTTCTTTTAAAATCACATCCGGAACGGCCCGTTCCTAAAGTGGAACGGCCCGTTCTGGGTTAAAATTTTACCCACGAATGCTTGATTTGGAACGGCCCGTTCCCAAAGTGGAACGGCCCGTTCCAGAGCTATGAAAATCCAAATTACTGATTAATAAATAAATAAATAACGTATATATATATCAAAATAAAATATCAATACAATTTAAAACATGATTTTCTTCAAATAATAATTATAACAAAATATCATAATTAATAATATTATACAAAATAATTTTCATAAATGATTATTATTAAAAACCTTTAAAACTTCAATCAAACCCATTTAATTAATCACAATAATTATAAGGAAATAATCTTCATAAATACAAAAATAAATAATAATTATTCGTAGTATTAGTAGAAAAATTCGGGATGTTACACTTTTTCTAATGTTAATATAGTTCCTTGGTCATTTTATAGGAGATGAATGCATTGCATAAAACTTTATTCTTCAATGTCATTCAAGAGCTCATATATTTTTCATGAAGGCAATCAATGTGCAAATGTATTAGTTAGATATGATTTAGCAAATAGAGGTAATTTTGTTTGGTGGAATGTTTTTCCTACTTTTATCAATGATGAGTTTTTTTTTTTTTTTTTAAATTGTTGGGGTTTATCTTCCTTTAAGTTTTTATTCTTTTGAGCGTACATGTGCATAATTTTATTGTACTATTAACTAAGTATTTTTATTAAATTAATATTAAATAATAAATTAACATATAGACTAAAATTATGTAACTAAAATAGTACCATGACAAAAGTTATAAAAAAAAATAGACAACTTTTTTTAATAAAAAAATTTAGAGACACCTTTTTTTAATAAAAAAATTAATAATAAAAAGATTTAAGTTCTAGTACATCTGTTTCAACAACTTACATCACTTGTGAACTATTGTGATAAATAATAATAAAAAAGTAAAAAATACCATTACACATATTATTTTAAAAATTACTATTAAACTTGCAGGTTAGATGCTGAAAAAAATTTAACATAACTTTCAACGCGCTTTGTGCATCTCTCTATTTGAAAAATTCTAGTAACAGAGGATTTACACAATTTTCTTTTAAAGTAATATCTATATCATTTATATTAATATATAAAGGATATTCTTTTTCAATAATTATTTTTAATCTCTACATTATTATTGATAGACTATTATGTTTTTTATTTAAAAAATATTTTTTCAATAACTATTATTCTCTTTCAATAAATATCTATTCTATTATTTTTTATTTTTAAAATAAATATTAAGAGGCAAAATGCCTATCTTTTTCATCTAGTTATATATTATGTAAATATTAATTGTTATTATTATGATTATGTAAATATATATACTTAACATTATATTTAATAATTACTTAAAATAAAAAGTATATATTTAAAATAAAACTTAAATTTATGATAGAATTAATTAAACGTAATCATATTAATTATTATTATTAATTTTAAAAATTTGTCTTATGTTACTTGAAGATATTATTAAATTAATATTACAATAAACATTTAAAATTATTATTTATTAATAATAAAATATTTATATTCAAAATATTATATTATTAAAAATGATAAAATAATATAAAGATGTTTAAAATAATAATAAAATAATTAGTAAAATATAGATGGCTAATTATTAGAGTAATATTATTTTAATAACATTTTCACATTATAATTATATAAATGAAAATTATAAATGATAAAATTAATTAAGATTATATATATATATATAATACCCATTATAATAACCCTAGTTAAGGTTTAAAAAACTTTAAACATCAAATTATTTAAAATATAAAATAACTATCTCTTAATAATAATAAATAAATACTTAAAATATCACAATATATATATATATATATATATATATATATATATGTATGTAATAATAATGTATATTGATATTTATATACAATTATACATTATAATAAAATAAATAAAAATAAAACTAATAATGAATATTAAAATAGTAATAAAATAAAATAATATAAAAATATTAAGAAATAAAAATATTACTATAACAATAATATAATGGTCTAAAAATTAAAAAAAAATTAAAAATAATATTATGAAAATGAAATAACTCCATAATTAAAAGAATCACATAATATTATTGTTATTATAAAAATAAAAAAATAAAAAATTATAAAAATAAGAAGTATTTATGCTTATGCATTAATCTCGCTTTTACTGATTTTAATTATATGTTATTACCTCAATCGTAAAGAAAAATGTAAGAAAAATAATTCAGACGAGAGTTTTAAAAAAATTTAATTTTTTTTAATGTGTAAGTTTCTATGTACAAAACCTCACCTGGTATATATGATGTACAAAAATTAGTACTTTATATTAAATGTCTTGCTTTTAGAGTATAAGTTTCGACACTTCTATTGATTTATGTCAAAGATTGATTTTTTCATACATTGCATGGATATTTAACTATATTTGCTATCCAAAATTAACACATTATATTTAAATGTCTTGCTTTTAGGATATAGCTAGCAGATCTTATTCATTCAAAAAAATCATACAAATAAAAAACAGTAATGCACGCACACTAATAAATTTCTTGTAATATTTGAGTCAATTCATATGAATCTCTTCTGAAAGTATATTCTGCCAATAAAAAATTGTTCTAGTAACAGTTACTGTAATTGGTTAGAATTAGGAAGGTAAAATCTAAATGCTTATTCAAGATCCAAAGGATACAGTTTAAAGATTATTAATGCTTTTCAATGGTGATACCAACTTATCTATGAACTAAAATTTAATGACTTCTCTGACATTGATAATTTTACATAAGTTTGAATTCATGAAAAATGCTTTTAGGTTAATATTATAAAATTAAATGTAAAATAATTCTTCACGCTTCAACATACATATATAATAATATTTAATTTGTGTTATATTTTAATTTTTAATAACCGATACGTAACAAAAATAAAATATTTAAGGATTTAATTTGAAAGTATATGTAATGTTCCAAATTAACCTATGTATGTAGACTAATGTACATGCACATAAACATAAACAATACAATTTAATGTTTTGTCTTTCAATTTATTGTATCAAAATACATCTAATCTTTTTCTATATATACATATAACATATCAGTCAATTTTTATTATTAAGATTTTGTTTGAACAATTTTTTCAATATGAAACCTAATATATTATAATTAATATCTATCATGATAAAATAATATAAGAGAAATTAAAAATAATTTATTTTTAGTTTTATGAAAAAAAAAAAGAAAAGAATGTGAACAGAAAAGTAAACATTACTCAATTAAATTATATTAAAAAAAAACCTCGAAGATGTATCAAGTAGACATATATGTACTGAGACATTTCTGAAACGGAAAATGACACTCCACTACAACCTTTGTTCAGTGTCTCCCTCAAACCCTAATCTTTCTTCTATTAATAAATTATCGGCAATTTCTTTGAAACTAGTACAACTTACATTTCACTTTCTTTGAATTTACATGTGTTGTCTTCTCCTTCCTCTACTTCATTACTGTCACCTCCAACAAAACTGCTCTTCCTGGTGCTCCTTTCGCAAAACAACTACATACTAACAAAATTAATCAATCAAGAACTGAGATGTTTATAAAAAGAAAAAACAACTAAGAAATCAGAAACTGAAAGAAAAAAAAAAATCCAACCAAAAAACCCATATATGAGAGTTGTACAAGGTGTTTTCAAACGTGAATAAAAATTACAGTACTCTCCATATCTCTTGCATAGCAGCTACAAAAGAGAGCAAGTAGTTATTTTCTCTCTGGAATTTGGCTTTTGAACTTCCTCACAAGCACCTCATGGTGGTACTGGTTCACAAAACAATAAATAAATAATAAATAAATTTCTCATCATGTTGATGTTGATCTATTTCCCAAGCGGAGTTCTAGATCAAGCTCCTCATCGTGGCTGCCATTATTGACAGAAGAGGTTGCGGGTTCTAGTTCCACTTTTGCAGAGCCTAATGAGTAAGAAGAAAAATCAGGCATCTCCGAAGCAGGCTGAGGCATCGAGAAATCAAAGGAACTAGGCATAAAATTGTTTGGAGTGTGATTAGAATGGGGAGAGACTGAGAAAAGAGTGGAGGGTGAGTCACCACATGCATTATTATTCAACGCAGTGTGGTGGTTAAGAGTGGGAAATGGAGCAGCAGTGTTAGGGCTAGGGAAGGGGTACAAGAGGCAGAAGCCGCCGTTTGCAACAAGATGTTCCTGATGAGAGTGAGGGATGTTAATGTTAAGGAAAGAAGAAGAGGGATGTGCAAGAGAGAGGGGAGAGATAGTGTTGTTGGGAGAGGCTTGGTGGAGCCGAGCACGGTCGCGGCGGTGAACGTTCATGTGGCCACCGAGAGCTTGTGCCGAACGGAACTCTCTTCTGCAGAAGGTGCATGTGTAGGACCTTGGAGGCCAAGTGGTGCCCATGACGTTGTTGGTGTCTTCGGCAAAGGCTCTGACCTCCCACGAGTCATCTTCTAGGTCCCTTGGGTTCCACATCGATCCGAGTGGTGGTGGAGTTAGGGTTTGGTTTGGGGTGGAGGTAGTGTTTGGTTTGTGGTGGAGGTAGTGTTGGTGTTGGGATTTAGACAAATTTTGGATCTGGGTCACCGAAACAAGGCCAATCCCTGCAGCAGCCATGGTACTGAAACTGACATTTAAGATAGATGGATATGTGATGGGAGAGTTGGTCGATGTGGAACGAACAAAATTGAAACAAAAATAATTTGGTTAAATAAGGGATTGATATGGGGTAGTAATAGTATAGAGATGGACACAAAATGAAGCTCTCAAAACTCCCAATAGAATCTATCACCCATCTTTTAACTGGTGCATTTGTATTCTATATGGTAAGGTTGAAATTATAATAATTATGTAATTTATGTTATTAGTAATTACCTAAATAATGTTGTTCCGTGTCTGCTATAGACAATTTATTTCCTTTGGCTTCTTCGCCTTCCAAATATCTGAGGCGCTCCACACAGTCACTTATTTAATCTTCCTGGCCCAAACAATTAATTAATATAATTTAAATTGGTATCCTAAAATCTGTAGTTTTATATGTTTAAATTAGCAAACAATATAAAAAAGAATGGTATTTACATTTTAGAAAAGTTGGCGCATTAGACTAACCAGTTTAATATTAATTACGAAAAGAAAATGAATGTTAGTATAGTCTTTAATATGATTTTAATTTTCATGAAAAAAAAAATCTTAACTATGATATTTAAGATATTTATTATAAAATTAAACAAATTTCCGTGCATAGTAATATGTAATTAAATAATAATAGTGTAAAATAATCTCTATACCGCCTTTTAATTAATTCCTATAATATTACTTATTTTAATATATATATTTTTTTAATAAAATATAAGCTATTAAAATAAATGTTGTTAATTTACATTAATAATATAATCTATCATATTAATAAATAACTATGTTAATAAAGGACATTGGTATATATTATTATTATTATTATATCATAGAGTTAGTATAGTATTATACAGTTAGAGTAAAGTCACAATTTTGTACTATAAGTTAATTTTCAATAAACAACGACTTAGGTATAAGTTTTTATATCACTAATTAATACTATAACATCTAACATATTTTTATATAGTGTTTATTCAGTATAAGTCTGCATAAGCATTTAAAGTTACTTCATAAATAAAAACGTTATTTTTTTTTAGTATAAATGATATAAAAATTTATTTTCCTCTCATTTTATAATGATGGATTTTTAAAAATCTTAAATTCAACTAAGATTTTTCATGGTTTGTGATTAAGAATTATTCAATTTTTTGAGTCAACAAAAATTATTTAATTTTTTTATATTATTACTCTTTTGATAATTTTTTTTAAAAAAAAAGAGTATATATATATATATATATATATAT